TTTCAGATAAAACTGATTACTTGTAGTGCTATGAAACACACAGTAAAGAAAGAAATTTAGCAGAAAACAGGAAATAAGTTTCAGAATAAACTACTGGAAAGCAGTGAAAAAAAAACAACTAGAAAGAGAAAATCTATCACAGTTTGAAGAATCTTTTTGAAGATCAGAGCTTAGAGAAAAACTAAAGCACCAACTATATGCCTGAAGTATTATGGAAGTACAAGAAATACTGGTTTACACATTGCATGCACATGCAGTGTGTTTAACATACAGGACAAATTATGATAATCTGTCATCACTATCAACGTCTGAGGAAGGTACAAGAATCTGTCTCTTTACTTCAGGACTGGAACAAAAACAAAACAAAAACACCAGAAGCATCATATTATCTCGAAGAGATTAGTAATTAAAACAAAAAATATATTCTTTCAGTTGTTAGAATAGTCTCTTCAGTAGCAGTGATGATGATACTAAGAGGTCTTTAGAAATGGTGAAGGTTAACTTTAATAGGAATGATAGAACTCAGTGATGAAGGACAGAAAATGTATAGATTTCCTTTAGACATGGCAATTGGATTTTTTATGCTTTAGTAATGGTCCATATAGGATTCCAAAAACTTCTTTGGAAGTGTGATCTGACCAGTAACGTGACAGCAAACTGAAAAGTTTTATCTGAAAAACACAGTGGCATATATTCATCTTAAAAACAACCAGTTTTACCAAGCAACCTACTGTAGAGAGCAAACCAAAAGATGACATTATGATTTAAGTCTGTTTAGTCTGGTGCTTGTGAATGATGACATGATGTGAGAGAGATGGAAACAGAGAGAGCAGAGCAAAGAGCAGAGCTGTGACACTATTTAAAAGACAGCCTGCTTATTCAGTGACATGACAACTCCCTATGGATCCCTCCTCCATGCACCAAATGACTTTGAACTCTGCAAGAAAAATATGTAGCTGTAGCTGACGACATAAGAGCTTTTTATGCTTGTTACCTTAAAGGTCCAGTGTGTAACATTTAGGAGGATTTCTTTTGAGAAATTGAATATAATGTTCATAGATATGTTTTCATTAGTTACAGTCACCTGACAATAAGAATTGTTGTGGGTTTTTTTTTTTACCTCAGCATGAGCCCTTTTTATCTACAGCCTTCAAACATGTGATTGATAAACTGATATAAGGTACCATATTCTGTGTCCTATATACTTAATACATGCCCTGATGTAATTATCAGAAGTGATTCATTGTCCTTTAAAGGCAGAGGCTGAGCCTCCTCATCAAGATTCTTGACAGTAATCCACAAGTGCTTGACTGCTGCAGTGCACCTTTACACTTAAAATAACAGCTACATGAAGACAAACCAACATTGTTTTTTTTAGTTTTTGCAACCCACTGATGAAGACACAAGATTAATATCATACACCAAGAAATGTGGAGTAAACTTGTGCTGAGTTGAAAGAGAATTTTAAGTGATATTCAGTGGACTTTTATTCTCTGCCTACAATAAACGCAGCAACATTACGATTTCTTTTGAATGGTGACACCACATGCACTCGGGTTAATTAATCAAAGCATAGGCTACAGAGTAACCAGATAAGCTTTCTCTGAATTCTGCAAATGTCCCTGCTGTTCCTACGGACAGCTGTGTGCACTGTACCGGTTAAGTGTTTGTTGATGCAGAGTTGACACAGGGATATATTTTCGGTCTGTCAATTAAAATCTGAAACCATATCGCCGAAACTTGACTAAATTCTCGCCTCGATACAACAAAACAAAATGTCTAGGAAACAATTTCCCCCATGATTTTCCAATGACACATTAAATGCAACATCATGATAGACTACTTACCCAACTCGGAGCTTCAACCCTTTCCCCTCCGCGACGTCTCTCTCTGAACTTCTTATTCTAAAACACAAATCAAGGCGAGAAGAATCCTGTTGTTTCACAAATAAAATGACCCTCTTCCAATCAAGTCACCTCCTCCTGCTGTACATGCTCCTCGGCAGCGGAGAGCAGTGTGTTTCGGTGAAAGCTACAGGGTGGATACTGAGCACAGAGACGCACACGTGATGCGTCAAAAGCTGCGAAAACTACTTGCCACACCATATCACATCTTTACTGAGCTCCGAGGAGCTGCGAGCGGGTGAAGTGTTATTGCAAACATCTGCAGTGTGTTGGTAAACCCACAACACGAAGTCATGATTCAGATTTCCGCAATTAAGAATTCATCTATTAGCCCTGCAGCGTGTTTGTGGCATTCATTTGCTAAAAGTACTGTATAATGATGATTCCCCTCTGCCAGTATTACTACAGTATGTGATGTTAACAGCTTTCAAGGATGACTCAGATAAAATAATAATAACGCTGAGCAAAAAACTGTATCATGGCACACAAAGAGGACACATGTAAACTGAGGAAATAATATCCCGATTGTTAGTCTTCACTGCCAGCCGTTAAGTGGAATGCAAAGGGGGCTTTTAAACTATTCACTCACTATGAAATTAAATTGTTAAGCTTATTGAGCTGTGTTGCATCAAGAAGCAAGAGCAAGTAGATCACTCTAAATAATGCAGATGCTGTTTGACTGAACCAATATCATCTAACTGCAGACAGTTGTGTGTCAATGTGTCATCAAATCACCAAACATAGGCTCACAAAGAGTGAAGATTGAATCATGTTTCAAAATAAAGTTCAGTTCTCTGCCTGAAAACTAATTTGACTGAACTTTTCACTAAACTTGTAAGTAAGTAAGAGTAGTTAATAAATTAAATTGCGCATTACAGTTTGAAGCTGAATGTGAATCTTTAGACTTTGAGTCTGATGAAGAAAATATTCCCCTGGTGCATCAAATACCCTAAAAGTGGACATTGGAGCCTTTTCGGTGTACGAGCAGATTTTTTCTCTTCATCTGCTCACTTTGAGCTCAGCACCTGCCCTTGTTTTGTTCTGATGATGCAAGCTTACTCCTATTTCTATCATCTTTTGACTTTAGGCTACTGCTGTTTAACATTTTCCTCAACTGCCAACTACCAACACACCTTTAATGCATCGCCCCCCTAATAAAAATGCATCGTTAGATAAGGTCATACTTCCCCTGTTGAGCCTACTGACACACCAGGTGGTCAGACCTCATTTCTCAAGTTTCTCTGTTGCTATGGGGATAAATGGTCTATACACAGCAGACCTACTTGTTATGAACATGTCCGCACCTCTTCATGTAGCTTCATGGGTAGTTTAACATAACCTGTTAAGCATATTAAGCACCCACAGTAAGATGTAGAGTTGGTTAAGGTCTATGTTGATTTATTTTATTAAGGCTTAGAGCTGTAGCCATGTAGGGATGACTGTACTTTGTGCCTGATAATTAGTTTACAAAAAAGGTATACACAAGATGAATAAACATGATACTGGGATTTTTTAATCTGTATTTTAAAATAAAGGTGAATCTACATCTGTACTGGATAGTGAAATTGGAGCTGGAGCCACAGAAGCAGGCCGACTGGTTGTTACCTTTTAAGTGACTCTGCATTGGTAAAATTCTTATATTGTGATTAAGAGTGAGCAATATAAAATCATCTGTCACTATACATGTAATTTTAGATTGGAATATTTGTATTAATTGTGATTGTGATGAAATAACCAGATGGGAAATATTTCCATAAAGCACTCATGATTTCTGATCTGTAGCTTTGCCCACAATGGTCTAATACTGTACAACCACATATTTCGAAGTGACAGCTACCACTGTCCCAATGATATGGCAAAATCTCCTACGGTAGATGATCCTTTGATGGCATATTGTAACAACTGGAGAACTGAAGCAAACTCAATAGTACCACTCAGAGACAGAAAGTTCTTGAATGATTACAGTCTTTACTTGCCAAAAACAGGTTGGGAGAAGACAAAGGGTCTCAAAAGGAATTTTTTACCAAGGTATACCAAGCACCAATAGCATGATAAAAAATAAAACATTTTGCCTCAAAAGGATGTTGGCAGTGCATTATTTTTATGTGAAGGCTGCCAAAAATGTTGTTGCATATGTGGGTAGCAATGGATATTGCTCTAACCTTTCAACAAAATAGAAAGTAGAGAGGAATTTGGATAGATCTGTTTGAAGAATGGTCAATGTATGAGCAGCTTCTGGCAAGGAAACTGTCTACAACCTACTGAGTGGTTTATATGTCAATTTTATCTTAAGTATTCTAGTATTCTAATTTCTTTTTAATGGCCAAACTTTAAAAAATGATTGACAGTATCGACTCTTGATAGTAGTTTATCAGTGCCTGTGCAGTGATATATTTTGAATGATGTGAAGTGATGAAAATAAAACAGATCAATACAGAAAAAAATATTTCATCATTAGGGCAGACAGTTCAACAATTAAACTATACATCTATCTATCTACCTACATTAGGATGGATAGAAATATGATGTTGTCTTACACTGAATAGTCATGTTTATGTACAGTATATAAGTCTATAATCCTTACCTTTCTGATAGGGATCGTTCCACGTATTGGTCTCAATGTTACTCCAAATCTGCTACAATTGGCTGTCTATCAAACAACATACAAGGATGTGTGTGTACTTTCTTAAGTTTCAATCTAAATTATTCAAACTGTCATATAACATTTTATGTTATAAATACTTCCCTTCAACTGCAAAACATATTATTGAAATGTGAATATTAATAAATGGACAGACATATTCCATCTGTGCTCAGAGGGGTACTCGTGGAGTGTTGGCCGCTTTCCGCTTCTAACCAATTCATCATAGCCAAATATTTGAGAATTGCATTTAAATAACACTTTAAAATGATGAGGAAATGGAGAACTAGAACCAGATTCAAGACTTAAACTCTGTTCAGGTGCAAAAATGGTCTTGACGAAGCACAGCATGTAGAACTTCTAGGATATTTAGTCATAATGATAGATTTTAATATAAAGCAGATTCTAAAATATAAATCAAAAGATGAAAAGTAAGCACAACACAGACACAGGGATACCACAGAAATTATAGTCTTGTAATTCAATGTATTCACATTACAACATCCACATGGTTCAGTTTGTGACAACTTCTAATGATCTTCAAATATATTCACTGTATGATACATAATACCAATATAGGCACTTCCAGTAAGTCTGGCAATATTGAAGCTACAGTATAGTGTCTAAATTACAAAATGGTAAAAATAAATAATGTATATCTAAAAGAGTTTTTGTAGTTTTAAAATTTCTTTACTGTACAGCATATACGTATGTATATTGTACAAAATGGAGCAACAACCTGCAAGAAAAGTAATTATTTTACTTTCACAAATACTGTGTATTTGGACATATTCTTCCTTGTGTAAATATTAGTACATGTGGTAAGTGCAAGGTACTAGTGAGAAGAAAGCAATTATTTAATCATGTGTCAACTATATAAAAATACATCTCTTTTTTTTTTTTACATAATTGTAAAGCTTCCCATGGTTACAATTATGCTACATGTGTGAATAAGCATGACAAATAAAACCAATTAAGATGTGAAAAATACACCATCAAAACTGATATACTGGGTGTATACTGTATCAGCTCAAATGCAAATATTGACTCAAGGCTGATGTGACTGGGGGAAAAATGCATACATAGTCCACTCAAAAAATAATAATATCACCAACTAACTAACACAGCAGACCTTAAAAGATGATAGACATTGTGTGATGAATGCTTTACTACTGTTGCCAGTGAAGATCAAAGAGAAAAATGCTATAGGACTGTCTGTGAATAACAATTTCATCTGAGTATCAGAGAAAAAACTGAAGAACTACCTACTGCATCACCTTCATCATTTCACCACCTCTACTTGTGAGTAAAAGTAGCATCCTCTTCTACTCCTACTAAAGTAAAACCTAGCCAAATACAGGAGTCACATTAGAGAGGCCAATGGAAGAATTCAAATAGTCAAATAGACACACACACACGCTCTTGCTCTCTCGCACACACTGTATACGGTATTTATACATTAACAAAGCAGGGGCTTTGGAGCATTTGAATTGGAAGCTTGAAATAGAAAACTAGAAGTGGAGGTTACATCATCCCAATGAACAATAGAAAGTGTTGGTTTTTTTTATTCTGCACCACTTGTTAAGATGTATGTGTTGTATGGAATAATTTGCCTATATAGCTGAATAAAATTCATCCGTTGTGTCTGTAATGATGATTATAGCTCTTTAAGGATGAATTGCAGGCAACATACAGCAGGCATGTTGTATACAACATACAGTGAGTGAAAACATGGTCATTAGGGGCCAAGAAAAACCTTGTTCTGATTCAGTGGCTTCTAACAAGTTTGGTCAGATGTTGGGTAAATGATTCTCTGTCTAATGCCTTTCTAAACAGGGGGTCAACCAATTATCCTCAACTTGTGTGGCCAATGCTGCTGTACTTCCTCCTCCCCCATCTATACTGTAGCAGCCAGAGCAGCAGTAAACAGGCCATTATGGATGGAGTGCGCTATTCACCACAGCTAAGAACATTGTGTGGTGATAGAGTATGTTAACACAAGATCTGCAACGAAACAAGGACACGATGTTCTACACCTGTATCAATGTGATTGCTCTATATCCTATCTACAGGCTGACGTGTGCTGTTAAGTTTTTATTGAAATGAGATTATAGAAGAGAGCAGTGGTACACCACAAGATGAGATACGATGCACAAGAGATTCAGATGTGCATGTAGGTCATGAGGACTCGACAAGATTAGCAGTTGATAATTCATTACATATTTCCTCATTGCACTCGTGTGTGACAGAAAGTTAGAGAATATGTTATTGGTTTACCTTGTGGCTTTTTCTCAGTAGAAAGTAAGGGCTATCATGTGACGTCTTACAGTACAATGACCTCTACATTACGATCATGTTATGTGCAGTAATGTTATTATGTTAAATCCATTTACAAGTCACGTTTTTAGAGACAATGCCTTTTATGTCTGTTGGAAGCTCTTGGAAAGCAGTTTCTATTTTCTATTTGCATTCATTGACTTTAACAATTAAATGTCTGGAGTGACGAGCATTAAAACTAACATATTCACTACCATTTTTATTTTATTTTCACAGTGATTGTGAAGCAATAAGAAAGCAATGCAGTGCAACAATGTGTGAATCATACATCAATAGGAGCCTAATGTTATGCATGAACCACGATGATGAAGAGCCAAAAAACTAGAAATACATGGCAAAATTAGCATATTGTCAATATTTTATAAACCCCCCAAATTTCACAAATCATGTTTTCAGGGGAACTCGTGACTTAATGAAAAGAACCAAGCTCCCCCTGGCTCCCCGGTATTTCGCACCCTGATTTCATTAAATAAAGAACAATGTTTTCTACTGGCATCAAACAGCTACAGTAGTACAGAAACCTTGCACCACCACTGTCGTGAGAATATTTGGAGTGAAGGACAGGTCACCAGACATTCTGATGTTGCAAACCAGCCATCGCATATCTCGCTCTTGTATCAACTGTGACTAGATTTCTTTTGCCAGAATCATTTCCCTGTGTATCATAACAGTAAGTGATCTATCAGGTTGGACTTTCACTTGCAGAAGAAGAAGAAGAACATCCAACTGATGCACTCTGGAGTCCCATAGGCTCTTAACTCTGAGAGAGTGTCTTCCTGAGGTGCCGGGAGAAGAATTCAGACAGATTCACTGTGTTTATCTGCAAATATGTTATATTAGTCAAGGCAGAAAAGTTGGAGGTGTGTGACAAAAACTTGCCTTGCTCTGAGCCTTTTATGAACATCCTCACAGGTGATACAGATATTTACTTTGAATTTCAACAGTTGAGGTTTTCCTGAGGGTTAAAGGTCAGCATCATTAGCAGGTTTTTACATAATGAGGACCAGTAAGTATAGAGTATAATACAGCACACTGACTCCAAATACGTAGTCAGAGAGTCAAATAAACTGATAGAAAATACAAAAGAAAAAGTATTGGTTAGTGTACCTATGCTACTTTTTTTTTTTTTTTAAAACTTCATAGGATTATACATTTATTTATCTGGGGGATTTTGAGATATTATGCTTTCTGTTTCTTTATAATGTTTTATGAACGCATGGTTACCTTTTCTTTTCCCCTTATATTTTCCTTACACTTCGGTAGTGTCTGTTCCGTGTACTGGTATTCCCTTTTTTGTCTTGCATTTGGAATAGATCCATTTCAAACAATCCACTGCTGCTTTGTAAGTGCAGTCCTCTGGTCGACAACATTTAGGACAGTGAATGAAGCCTTTATTTGACCACTATATTTAACTTGGGACTGGAGACCAGAGATAGCACAAATAACAGGTATTCTGCTGAATATATCTATGTCCTCTGCAGAAGAATTGTGCATTGGAGTGCACTAATTTAAACACGCAGACACACACACACACACACACACACACACACACACACACACACACACACACACACACACACACACAGCATAAGGAGCCTAAGGTCTCCTTCCTTAAACTAATATGGCTACACTTAATGGTATAAAGTACTTAATTTGGCAACAAATGTAAAACATAACATTTATAATTATTTGATTTTGTATGCTAAATCCTATGGGTACTTTTGGCAGACGTTGAAAGGAGGACAGATACGCCAATGTTCCTCATTTGATTGACTCCCTTTATAATCCATATATATATATTTTAAAAAACATATTATGGCCCATGTGAGACCTAAAAACTCTTGCTAAAATTGAAACACAAGTACAAGTAACTGTGATGTCTATATATTGCATTCAGAAAATAATTATGTATAAATTGGCAGCAAATTTCTGCAGTCCTGTGTTACCACATTGGGTTGAGGTCTGTGCAATCAGTCTTCCTCTTCTCTTGACAGTAGCAAAAGAGTCTGTATCCCAAAGTACACAAATAATCCTGTATTGCAATATGGAAACCTCCTTTAAATGTTTGGTGAAACCAGATATTCAGATCAAATGTGTAAAGCACAAATTTTCCCACTTTTTTTGTATAGGCACACATTTCCCAAACATCTACAGTGTTGTGTCTAAGTGATGTGCTGGAAAAAACAGGAGTCAGTTGATAGGATAAGATAACAAGGAATACTTCTTCACATCCTTGCCCTGACCAACTCCGTATTTTCCATTAGCTGTTTCACTGTGGGTCCCCCTCCGCTAGTTCCTCCAGAGGTTTAGAGTCTTCCTGCGGAGACACAGGCCACTCTGGTTCCTCCACTCCCTCCTCTGCATCCTCTCCTTCTACTAGCTCCTCTCTGCTGCCTGGCTCCTCTTCCTCCTCGTGAATAGCCAGGATTGGCTCAGCTACATTGTTTAAATGGACAGACTCTGCTCCTTGGCCCTGTTTCGGGGCCTCCTCTGCGATCACCTTCTTCCACATCTCGTGGTTCTCCAGCAGGTGCTGGGTTATTTGGCAGAAGACTTTCCTCCTCTTCTTGGGACTTGCTTTCTCTAAAAAAAACAAACAAAAACATTTTGATAACTGATTTTACACAATATTAACTGACAATTAACTACAATCCCACTGCCTCTAGCCTCTGAACTATAACTTGTCTCTCTGTCAGACCATGTGGTTTGATCTTTTTGACAGGTGCTGCACGAATACGTAAAAGCAGTTCCAAAGGTTTCCACCAGTGTCAATTACCACGTTTACAGTTAGATGTTTTTTTTTTCTTTATTTTGCTCATCAAACTAAAATAGTATTTACATAAATGGTGGGGTGCAACAACCAAACTTTTTAGAATCACTAGTGTTAGTTACTGGTATTGCTTTAGATTTCATAGTGACCAGTTCTGTAATGTATTATTGTCTAATTATCCATTATCTGTGTTAGAACAAGCTATCTCAAGAGAACTGCTCATTTCTTGAATTTTGATTTGATATAAATATTAAAGCTGGGGGGGATGGATATGTTGTATAAATTATAAATACACTCTACCACATGTACAGTATTACTCTTAGGCTGGTCTAGGGGCTTACTAAAAACTTCCCTTTACCTTTCCAATGAGCAGTGTTGGGCAAGTTACTTTTAAAAAGTAATCAGTTACAGTTACTAGTTACTTCTTCCCAAAAGTAACTAAATTAGTTACTCAGTTACAAATTATAAAAGTAACTAGTTACTTAAGAAAGTAACTATTGCGTTACTTTCAAGTAAATTTTTAAATGCTAAAATGTGACCCCACCTCCACCCCTCTTTAACAGAACTTACAATACATGTGCATGTTCGATTATTTTTGTTAATCTGAATATTATAATGAAATGGACACTTAATACAATGCATTATTAACAGAAACAATGTACACAAATCTAAACTATTTTAATGTTGCTGTGGGACAAGGTGAGACTAGCCTCCAATCAAATGCCATGTATGTAGATATTATGTTTATATAGTGGATCGATACAAATAACACAATAGATGTTTTGGAACTTTTGATATTTATTGCCCCTCAACAGGCCACAACTGGGAAAAATTAAATTATGCTTGTAAAGCACTATACCAAAAAATAAATTACAAATATATACACTCTTTGTAGTGCAAATAAAACAAAACAAAAACTTCAGACAATTGTCTACAATTGTAGATATACAGTACTACTCGAAAAAGTAGAACAGTTTAACAATATGAGGTGCTTTCAATCTAACTGAAAAGTACAATGTATAGCAAAACTAAGGAATCCAAATATAAATAGGTAATACATAAGAAATAAAAAATACATCTCCATAAAAATAAATCTCTTTCTCTGGCCATTGACAATCTCACTACAAGAGGCTGCAGCCAGCCAACAAATAAATCTAAATTAAATTATGCTCTTTAAGCAATGTACCGAAAATGTATTCAAACAACATATACACTCTTTTTAGTGCAAATGTAATAAGATGTCTCTTGTTGACTGACTCGCTTGTGTTGTTTGTTGTGTGTCCGACTATGCGTGCTTTCGAACACCCGCCCAACACTACCTCTGATTGGCTTACCATGAAATTTTACTCAACCTCAGCCAATCGTCAGCATTTATGCGCTTGTCTCGTGCACTGCCCTCTAACCAAGAAAGAACAGTAAAAAAAAGTCTTTGCCTCTCGGTTCAGGTATCTAGTTGGTCTGATAAAAAAACAGCTTTAATTATAGTAACGCGCCGCATGTTTTGGCAGTAGCGGTAATGGCGTTATTAAGATGGGAAGAGTAATCAATTAGATTACTCGTTACTGAAAAAAAGTAACGCCGTTAGTAACGCAGTTATTTATAACGCCGTTATTCCCATCACTGCAATGAGATAGTAGCAATTATATTCTAATCATAGGCTTTGTAATCCAATGTTGAACAGCAATGTTTTTTAAGCTACAAAACACCTGCTAAACCAATTTATTTCCCACCACTCAGAGAAGAAACCACTGTTTGATGTTGCTATTACATTTCTAAATGTCCAACATTATATTACATTGTATTATCAAACCCATATAAAAAGAATAAATGGCAATAACAAACAATTTCATACAAAAGGAGGCATTCAACGCTACATTTCTGATCACTTCCAGTTTATTCCTGCATCACCTCTTCATGTTTATAGCTTCATAGTTTTAGACCACAGTGCTTACGTGATGCTTCTGAGCTGGTGGACGTGTCTTCCTCTGCAGTGTCCTCCTCATCCTCTTCCTCATTCTCCATGATCTCTGGCTCATCTTCCTCTGGGTTGGGCTCCACCCATCGTCCCGGTATGAGGCCGGCTGAGTCGTAGGAGTTGCACAGTGGTCCCACAATGTGTGTGATGAATGATTCCTGGAGTTTGGCCAACTGTGGTGCCGCTCGGTCCATGAAGGGACTGATGGGAAGGCCAAGGCTGGACTCCTCATCGCCCTACATAAAGAATGACCCACATTAGTGCAAAATCATCACCAGCTGAATGAATGCCAAAACATGGCATGATTCACATTTTATCACACATGCTATTCCAAGAGAATTGAGTCAGTTCAGCTCAGTGAATACACTGCTCCCCCTCAAGCCTAACGCAAATCCAAGGCAGGCCTCCAGCAAGCTCCAGTGGGCCCATGCAGGTCTCTGTGTCCCCTAGCCTTCACCCCTCTTTACTCTGCTGGAGAACCAGAGGGAGGGAAGTCGGTCAGTGTGGCCGGTGCCCACGGCTGATAGCCTGTCCTTGATTGCCCTCCCTTGTCCACACACCCCTGCAGGTGCGTGGACACTGGAAGTCACATTTTGTACTGTGCCTGGATGCGGGCGAGAAATGCGACCAACACCACTTATCATAGTTTGCAATAATGCATTGCAGTGGGGATGCAGAGAAGATAAGAGGCGAGCATAGATCTATCTGAATGTTTGGTGCTGTTAACAGAGACTCCCGTCTGTAGTGTAATTCACAGGCAACAGTTCACTAATAAACTACTACTCACAGCTGAGTACCTGTACTCCCGTCTTTTGAAAACAGGCACTTGGCTGTGGGCACGGGCCAACCTCCCCTCCGAGTACCAGGGGGTCACGGCTAGGGGACAGAGAGACTAGAGCTCCTGCTGGACTTCGAAATGGGGAGACTGCTGATTTTCTTGTAACTGAAAACTGTTGTTGGAATTCTGAGATAATCTTGTTAATTCAGAAGAACAGGCCAAATATTTTTTTCTCAAGTAAATGTAATACGCTGAGACGGATATTTGAGTTTAATACATTGTGTTGAGTTTATAAGCTGTTATAATTTTATCGAAAGAACTGGCCCATGTTAACTCGGGTATTATTACTTTCCATAGGCCCATATTTTATTTCATCATTTATTTGTTATTGGAAACTTTATTCTCTCTATATATTTTAATACCTTTAGACAGACATTGTTGCATGTTCAGCTGACCTGCAGTGCACTGACTAAATGACTCAAGCTTAGATTTTTAGTACATAATTACATAGTTCTTACCAGGAAGCTTCCTATGAAATTACATATCAGTTGTTTTCAGGAAAATTATATATATAATAAACTATAGAAATAAGGAAGATAATGAAAATCAAAGTAATTTACACAAAGGCCTAAAGAATATAGGGCAACAATGGGAAGTGTGAGGGGCAGCAGCATGTGTGCTGTCTATGACGTCTATATGGATGTGAAACAACAACAGCTATAGCAAGGTTTCCGGGTTGCCTAGGTAACTGACCCCAAGTGTCATCCCATGCACTATACAGTAGAATGCCTTTGTTCCTGCAGAGTAGCTTGCTGCTAATGCAAAGCACAGAGAGAGTCATCAAAAGATGTGGTTTAAGTGGGATCTGCAACTTGATGGAATTTCTTGACAGGTGAGCGCACATGAATGGGTGGAAAAAACAAGGGAAAGAGGAGCTCTGGGATCCAGCTGTCACCATGACTACAATCTGAACAGATGGGTAGTGTTCAGAGGCATTGCAAGGTTAGTTTTCCCAAATTAATGCCTCATGTCTATGTGCGATGAATGTATTAAGAGACACTGTTATGAATACAGTGGCCAGATGTGTTCTAACTGGGTTATCCAAATAAATTCAAGACCTGTAAGCTCTGAGATTTATCCAACCTTACAATATAGTATTAAAACACCCAGATCCTAGTTTACACAAAAATAATCAATTTGAGCCTGGTGAATGAATCTTATCCTCAAGGCTCTGTCAACATGTTTTCTTATAAACCACAACAAAGTGTGTGCGCGTATGTCTATGATATGTTTGTGCTTTGCATACATGCCTGAACATATTCCGTATAAAGAAGGAGTTGTATTGCTTTTCTGCTTTTTTCAAGGTCATTGGTCTCTCAAGGCTGTCAGTGTAATCAGAGGCTGCTGCTCCACCTGAATGACAGTTGCCTGGGCACCCCGCTTGCGTCACCACATCCAGCAGCACTAAAATTATTGTCACTGAACAGCATTTCTCCTGCGAGGCTCCCACACTCTGCATCTCCCCTCATGGACCTCAGAGTGGCTCATAACAAGGTGGTTGTGTCACCAAGCTGAAGTAGCAGGGTACATAAGAGTTTGAGCTTGACCCAGAGGCAATTAGCAGAGATTAGCAGCCATTTAGTGCCAAGGGGACATACTGTAACAAAGGTCACTGAGGGTGGCATTAGCTGAAGGCATGACTAGATTCTGTTTGTTGCAGCAGCACTGTACACTCAGTGGCCAATTTATTAGGTACACCTGTGCAACCTAATGCAATCCAATATCCAACTGTTAGCCATAAAGTCTACTTTGATGATACCAGATATGGTTGACAAAAACCCCTCTCAATACCATGTAGTTCAGTTTACCACCTTTACCCATGAGCTCAGTAAAAATCATATAACTGAATAATTGAACAAAAACTGACAATTTTAGACCTAACTACATATCTTTTTCTGTCTCTGCTGTTCCCTTGACTCTTGATTTATATGTAAATACTGTGTAAATGTATTATATAAAAGTAGAACACAGTAACTGAACATAAATCTTGTAATGGAATCATGACAGCTGCTCATATAATAATCGGTCCAAGAGGGAGTGCTGCCATTACTATCTCAATATGTCAGAGAGATTGGATCAAAAATGAATAATCAATCAGTCTTTGGGTCCAAAGTCTTTTTGGTGGAAAAATAAGGAGGGAAGGACTGTATTTAAGTTCCTCTACTTGTTTTTATGGGTTTAAAGACAAACAAAATAGAAAGAATTAATTTGTCTGAAACACACAGCATGATACCAGGATACCATTTTTTTTTTCTTGTGCTGTCTCTGTCTGTCTGTCTGTCTGTCTGTCTGTCTGTCTGTCTGTCTGTCTGTCTGTCTGTCTGTCTGTCTGTGTTTCGTCTATGACAACTGTATGTTTTACGGTATGTAGGTTTTTAACCTTTTTGCCATAGCTTCAATGATGAAGCTAACTACAAGAAGCATTAATATATATATATTTACATGACTAAATGATGGCTTCAAATACCATAACACTGACACCTAAACATTCTCAACCAAACCCTCACAAATGTTTGATTTTACAATGCTGAACTACTGTATTGGACTGTGATGGATTATATTGCGCAGGAGTATGTGTTGTTGTATTCCCCCCAAGCACACAAACATAACAGTACATTGATCTTTAGTTTAGCATATACAAATGAGGTCCAAGTTCCCATCAGAGACGGTTCACACACCTGTTCATAAAACTCGTTGACAATGCCCTCTGTCCACTGCAGATGCAAGTCCTTGCACTTCAGAGGCCCATTGATGTCAGCCAGTTTAATGCACATCTGGCAGACCAGCAACCTGTCATTCTCGTTAGACCAATCAATACCTGTGGATGGATCATCACCCACCTGGGGGGTCAACAAACAGACATGTTGAGATTTAGCATATTCAAACATGTTGGCAGACACAGCATGTGATATGTAGATATTATGTAAATGTGATCCCATTGATCTACTGTTCAAAGATTGTATATTCCTATTAATGTCTAGAAGGGTTACAAATCATGGTGAAGACATACGGCAACACTGGAATGCACTGCTGGTGAGACAAAATCAATGAGGACATAAGGCGTTTTAATTGTAGCTTCCACCTGTATTATGAGATACACAAACAGACTTTTTCCTGTGATGAAATGAGCTTATGTAGAGGTTACAATTACTATGCTGTGAATAAGTTATGAGCAAAGTTTCTGTAAGATATAGTTTTATCTATACTTATGCAGTTCTCTGAATTAAATCAGTGAAATCTTATCTAATCTACATAAACTTAAAGCCTGCATTAATCTCAACACTGGTTGAATGATGCATTTGTTTGAATTTGTTATTTCTAGTTATACTTAATGAGTTTCAGATCTGAAGAAGGAGGACCACTGATTGACTGAAGGAGGAGTGTTATCATTCTAACCTAATAACTCAGGAAGCTGAAGAGATCAAGTGTATAACTGGATGGGTACTTCACAGAAAGCTAATTTGCTTCCAGGAAGAGCAGAGCAGGGTGCACTGCAGTGAGAGACATTGCTGTTACTTTTGCTGCAAAGCCAGCAAGCAAGCTCAATGCTAGCTGACAGGCCCTGGCCATCGAGCACCACCACTGTACTAATAGTCACAATTGAAAAACTCAAGACCCTCAACTCCAAAGCCAACATTCTGTCTGCACTTAAACAAGTTCTTGAAAACTTCAGGGTGCTTTGTGCTGTTGACTTGAGCGGAACATACTGCAAGTGCTGCAATGTTCTGCACAAACAGACCTGTTCCTCGAAAAACCCCTGGACATATCACTTGACTCATGAAACTAAATAATACTGCAAGTTTACCAGACAATTCATTATTCAGCCAATCTAGTTTCCAAAGACAACAAAATAAAAGTAGTCAAACATAAATGTTTAACTTTATATGAAAGGATAAGTATTCATAACTCAGTGTTGGCATTGACCTAAAATCCCAAACCCCCCAAATAGCTTAAGTTAAAGATAAATAAACAACTTAAAAAGTTTTTAATTTCACAGTATTGTTAAATTAATAACCATGTCCATAAACCCACATTCAGATCTAAAAGTCAAATGTTTTAATTGTTTATTTTAAACAATCATGTTTTTAGAACTACCTTGGCATTGAACTCAGCTAGGAAGTCAAAGTGCTTCTTCAGGTCAGTGGCCAGTATAGCTTCAATGACCAAGAAACGGAAACGCTTGAACTCTACGTGGTCCAGGTTGACAAGGAAGTTGAACTCTGGCCGCGACATGAAGAGGTTCCAGGCTGAGGCAGCGTGGTGGTTTTCCAGAACAGATCGATCATTGTAGAGCACTGCCTGCAAACACACAAACACTTCACATTTAGATATATAAGTAAGAAAATGCCCATATATGAATCCTGAAATAGTGCATATACAGTACTAAAAAACTGAGACTGGATAAGAGAGATATTTCAAATGTTGAAGAAATTGGAAAACAACATCATGCTTCCAAAGTATTGTCAAGAAAATCTGAGCTACAACATTGCTACTCTCTCATAGATAAGTGATCTTTCAGCATCATCATAGCCTGTTTATCTAATATTAGAAGACACGCCTAGACTGAAAATGCAGTAGGCTATAGTTCCAAAAAAACTTTTCAATGTACATATGTACATGTGAGTACATGTGATTAAAAATGTGTACCTATCCTTTAACCAACATGTTCATGTCATCCACTTTATACACCTTCCACCCACCTACTGACAGAAACTCAGAGGCTGTCCTTGAGAGTTATGTTAAGAGTTACCAATGACATTCTGATGAAGGTTGATGTCGGTGACTGCTCATTGCAAGTTTTGCTTGATCGTAGCGCCGCTTTTGACACAGTGGATCATTGCATTATTATTGAAAGGTTGAGAACATGGGTGGGTATCTCAGGGACGGCATTCCAGCGGTTCTCTTCTCAGCCCTTATATTTGATTTCATTGCTACGCAGATGATAATCAGCTATACTTGTCCTGTAAACCATCTGAATCAACTAAGTTATCTTTCCTGCATAATTGCCTAGCTTCTGTTCAATGGCAAACGGACTGCACTTACATAGTGCCTTTCTAGTCCTACGACCACTCAAACCACTTTTAAACTACATGTCACATTCACCAATTTAAACACATTCATACAATGATTATCAGGAGCAATTTTGGGATTCAGAATCTAGCTTAAGGACACTTTGAAATGCAGTGGGAGGAGCCGAAGATTGAACCGCCAACCTTTTGATTAGTGGACAACCAATTCTACCTCCAGAGCTGCCCCATGGATGGTAGAACATTTTCTTCAGCTTAACTCCTCCAATAAGGAAATCTTTATTATAGGCCCTGAGCACACTTAGGACCAACTTCTGCCGCTCTTGGCTCTCTAGCTCAACATGTTGCACCTACTGTTTTAGATCAGAACCTCATTCTTGAGTCCCATGTTAAAAAGCTAACTCAATTGTGTTTTTTCCACTTCAGAAATACCTCTACAATTAGATATTTTAATATTTTGAAATATGTTCAAAGAGTTCAGGGATTATCACTTCTCCTCTGGATTATTGTAATGCTATTACACAACTTCAGGTTAAAACTTTTAACTAGATTACAAGAGCATGCTCATATGTCCCCTATTTTAGTTTCCATGCACTGGCCGCCTGTCCATTTTAGCATTGATTTAAAATGTTTTGTCTTGACTTTTAAGGCCCTGCATGTTATGAGACTGAGCTACCTGGCTGAGCTTCTTACTCATTACTCTCCAGCCTGTAGCCAGCAGTCCTCTGATAGAGCTCTGTTAGCTATTCCCCAGTCGAGACTGAAGACCAAGGGTAACAGGCCTTTTGCCGTGAGGCCTCCAACCTTTTGGAATAACCTCTGGTGCACTTTCACCAATTATTTTATCTTTACTTATAGCTGTCTTATTTGTTATTCTTATTTTCTGATAGTGAATTTGTATTTCATTTTTTTCCTGCCTGATTGTCTTTGTTCTTGTTTTTTGAAGCACTGAAAATAAAGTTATTATAATCACTATCATTACTTACTTACTCATCAGATACTATTCTCTTCTATAGGCTGAGTAGCACGAGTACCTGTGGGGCGCTGGTGGCCACGAGGAAAGCATTGGTCCGCCCGGGGTGGTCGTAGTCGTGCATTGCGGCAGCCACATAAAGGGCCATGAGCTCCAGAGCAGGTATGAGGCCTGACAGACAGCCATAACCATCTTCTGACACAGTGTAGGTCTTTGAAACCAGGAAGCCCATATGACTGTGTGTTATTCCACTGTCGGAGTCTGGCCGCAGGGGAACAGACAAAGCGAGGAGGTTGAAGAGCAGGGTGGCAGAATTTAAACACACACATACTGTACTTTGATGAGTACATGCCTAAACACAAACACACACACACACACACACAAACACACACACACACACACACACACACACACACACACTCACACTCTAGTGCTCACATTCGCAGAAATACACACTTGTACATTCAAATCCACTTATATGTGGATCAAAGGGATGGCCGCAGTAAGGCATACAAATGAGGTTATGGAAATATGGGTGAGAGGGAACTCTAATCTGCCTGCAATTTCATGCTGTTCCAGACTTCAAATAGTGTTTGGTACGTAAATGCAAGTGCCAAAAGCCTGAGTAAGATAAGACCAACTGTGAGTAGGATAAGAACACACACTCCTGCAGGTTTGATGCTCTGACAGTAATGAGAGCTCACAGTAAAGCTACAGGCAGATGGAAAAACCTAAATAAAGTGTGGATGTGCATACAGACAGTCTTTATGGTGGTAAATGGCTTAACAAAAGTAAAACATGGAACAAAAAGGTTTTGAGAGCTCATGTGTTCTTATCTGGCAACTTAACTTGATGTTAATGGGTTAACATAAATTGATTCACATACACACCAGCACCCCCACCAGGACATGCAAATGTCTGCCAGTATGTACTAATGGACACACCTGAGTCACTGGCAGAGCCATGGTCAGTGATGAGGCTGGGCAGACCAGGAACAGCCTGCGTGGTGAGGTACCAGACTGCATGAAGCACATCTGTGGCGTGGACCCTGTTGTGATCTGGGTCAGGAAAGAAAACAAGTGTATTTAGTGTTTGTAATCTTCTCCACCAGGGTGCAGTGCTGGGCTGCTTATGTTTCTTGTAACAACATAAAGGCTGCATACAGTCATACACTGGAAAAGCTGTATGACATTTCCCTCTAGTGGCTACTTTAATTGTTACAGCTGCAAACATGGTTATAGGTAAACTAAAGCAAAATCAAAAACATAAGAAGATGACAAATGTTCAAGCTTACATGGTATGTCTCTGTAACCATTCTCAAGGGCATGGAAGTAGTTCATGAATTCTTTTACAGGGATCTTGAAGGTCTCAAACAGGCCAGTGTCTTCAAAGAGCCTGTAGGAAACCTGAAACAGAAAACTCAAAATATCAAAGTGTCTGTGAACATCACCAGGTTTGGATAATCAACACATTACTTGTAAGAGGGGAACATTAATTTAAAAAATATGGAAATTGTAATAAATAAATGCTAAGATTATGGCATTGTAGATCAAATGTTGCAAATATATGTACATCTATTCATATATGAAACCAAAGAAAAACAGTTTTACCAAGTATCTCAGCAATTTGTATTTTTTTCAAGCATTTTATTGCTGAAATATTGTCCAAATCCCATGTATCATTATGCTAATAACAAATCATTTTAGTGACACTCTGGCTGACCTCTGAGCTCAATCATTGGTGCTCTCAGATGTGCTCACCTGACTGAGGATCCGTCCACATTTCCCATTGGTCTTTTCCATCAAAGTGAAGATGGGGAAGTTCCAATTGTTTAGCTGACTCATCAAAGGCTCCAAGTCCTCCATTATTAACGGCTCTGGAGCCAGAATTGGTTTGTCCTGTACAAGTGACACATGATGAAAAGTGGTAAAACAGATAGATACAATCTAATATTATGATGTTATTTGTTACTAACAGAATTATACTGTATCAGCGGCCATTCTGTCTTGCGTTACCTCAGGAGGTATTAGTGGGTGGAGGATGACATTCTGGGCAGGGTTTTTTCCTTCCTCTGTGCCCTCCTCTGTATGTGCTACATCACTGCTGTCACTGTGGTTGGCTTCATGGGTGCTGTCGTAGTCTGATGACACCACCACTTGGTCCTCTGCTATAAAAAGAAAAAACAAAGATGTCACACTGCAGTTTATGGGAAAAATCCACAATTAATCTCCTTAAGCTGATGCATATCGTCAGGTTTTTGGGGAATTCACTTCTCTGGTGTTTCCACTTCCCTTAATCCCAGTTTGTTATAATTAGCTGCATTTCTCAGAGTTACAGTGCTAAAGTGATGGTGAGTGGTTTTGTTCGTGATCTCCGTGATTGCTGCCTTGCCCCCTTACTCAAAACTTGTTTTACAGTGTGTGTGGTGGCAATGCTTTATACAGTAGTCTGAGTTTACATTATCAGAAAAACTGGTAGGTCTGGATTTTCAAAACTGGATTTGGAAACACTGTGATATAGTATACAGTATGCCCACACACACTCCTCCTATGCTGCCTGGAGGGAGTGGTGGTACTAATAGAGAGAAAGAAAAGTAAGAGCATACCTGACCGTGGTATCCTGTCTCCCTTGTCTATTGAGCCTTCCCCATGGCTCAGTTTGATGTATGGTCTCCCACAGCTGAAGACAAGAGCAGTTTACTAGGTTAGAGATAAAGTGCATAAAAGGGAAATATTTTATTAAACTGTGTAGCCAATGACATTCCCTGTTGTAATGCTGTGATATTTGCAGCTTGTGTTGTGTTGCATCTTCAACTATTGCATAGTATACATATCAGAAAAACATGTTCAACCTCAGTACTAGACTACACAATGAAAGCATGTTGCAGGGTCAATTATATTTGTTCAAACATTTACATCTCAATGTGTTTTGAAATGTCTGTAAATCAAATGCAAGAATCTGTTTTGTTGTTTTTGTAGGATAAGATGAAATTTCAATTTCTCTTGGTAATGTTGAGAATTCTATGTTACTAAAACTAGTCCAGACCCCAAAATCAACAGAAAATGTTAAACACTGGAGAATAGTATATGAGTTTGTTTGTGGAAAGCAAAATGTCTGTAGCTGCGCCAAAGAAGTGGGAATAATGCCATTCACTACATCTGTCTTTGATGTCTAACCAGTCGGCAGAAGTTGTCAAGAAAAAAAACTTAATGGGATTCCTACTGTGCTGTCCCCACATGAAACAGACGTTGTACAGATGCTTGAAGAAAAATACTCATTAATGAACTTAATGGATGTACAAATTAACACAATGCAATGAGAATAAACAACAAAACAAATTTGAAACAGGCGCTATTATAAATGACTCATTAGAAATTGAGCCCACCCTCTTTGAGCTTTATGACAAATTACAGGAACAGCTTACTGCTTGCCACAGTCACAGACAGATCAAAATATTCACGTTTATTGACTGGTTTATAAATCAAACAGCAAATATTACTGTATTTTTTACAGAAAGAGACTTGAGCCGGCCTCCACTGGTTAGTTAGCTGTGTGACACCATGGGGAGCCTCCCGAGCTGCGCGCAACAGCTTTTCCATGTTTCTCCAGTGAGGCCTCTGTCAGGCTGTAGGTGGTTCCAATTAAAATAACTCTCCTTAAATGTTGTAAAACCTGCCTTCTCAGGGCAGGAAATGCCTGCCGTTAGAGCGTGGTGTCACAGGGAGCACAAAGGCCTGTAGTGTGTCTATCTCCTTCTGATAAATTGTTTCTTGAACACTTTTGAGCTGTACCCACCCCGCCTAATGGTCATGAGGCCCCAACAAAGGGAGTTCTGTTGTGTTTGCATGGCCAGGTTGGACCACTGTGTGTAATGCCTAGCAGGTGTGGAATATAAAATAGTTTGATAGTTTGGCGGGCGAACAGTTAGTACATTATTGTCAGGGGGGTCTGGGCAGGCAGCAGGGCTTGGCTTAAAAGGTTTACTTTTAATGAAAGTTGAAGAACTGGCAGACACTCTTCCTATTCTGCTAATGCAGCAGAATAGCCTCAGCTACTGACATTGAGCCCTCAGCGCAGAATGTAAATAAGAAGGCCGGCCATTTTCACTCGAGGAATCTGTCAGTCACGTATCAAGTGACCCCGCTTTTATCACAAAAAACCTCTTAAGTGTAGTTACAGTAGTTAGCACTGTAGTTACAGTAATTTAACTGTCCCAGTGAGATATTCTGTAAGGTACCAAGACAAAATACACATTCCTGTATGTTTTTGTTTCAACCCTGTCTCCTATAAATGATGCTAATAATTTGTTTTGCCCCAAACCTTTGGGAAGAATGTAACTGCTGCCTTCAACTATGTTTGTTCAGTCAAAGAAACATCCTGCATCCTGTGGTATGGTTAGATTTATAGGCAACAAAAACAGTTTGGTTAAGGTTAGGAAAAGATCATGGCTTCGGTTAAATATTGAAAAAATAAACACGTCCTGTGTCAGAGTGGAGTTTTTTTTATTATTTAACCAAAACCACAATCTTTGTCTAACCTTGACCAAGTGCTGCAAGTGCCTAAACACAACCATCAAAAATGTAATCATACTGTAGTTACAAATGCATACTGTATTTCTTAGGAGCAAACATTACAGGGAAAAAAAGTTAAATAAGCTGTCACTCAATGTTTTACAGATACGTTTAGGGCTACAACTACAACTACTGTTTTCATTATACATTAATATAATTAATAATCATTTTCTTAATCAATTATTGGTTTGGTCTACAAAATGTCAAAAATAGTTAAGAAATTCAGTGCAATACATTGATTGTTTTGTGCAACCAACAGAACCAAAAATCTCTGCATCTTAATCTATTCATTTTCATAGAAGACAAAAAAGCAAATATTCACATTTGAGAAGCATCAAACTGTGAATTTTTAGCATGTTCGCTTAAAAACTAACTTTGATGATTAATTGATTAATCAACTAATCTTTACAGCTCTAGGTAAGGTCTGTATTAGCACTGACTTTTTTTTCAAAATGTAAAGATGTTGTAAAATTAGTTGTAAATCAGTAGAAAATAAACAGGACCAATCAAACAAAGGTCAAGGTCAAAATTAGTTTCTGGCTTTACACATAATCTCTACAAATGTAAATACAGCCAAAGTGAATTGTCAACAGTCAATTGGGAGTCTTTCTCTGAAGTAGAAAATGACTCCTGTTCTCCCACACTCATACAAAAGAAAAAGCAGAGAGCATTCCAGTACAAACCTTAATGAAGTTAATTATCCTGCAATAGGAAATACTATTTAAATTACTGTATAAAAACAGCCCTGCTGCCTCTTTTAAAGATTGCTTGCTTATCTTAAAGAACCAGTGTGTAGGATTTAGTGACATCTAACAGTGTAGTTGCAGAGAGCAACTTCCCTTTCCAAAGAAGAAACTGCAGTGACCACGAAACGCCTGTATCTACAGCCATTGTTTGGTTTGTCCTTTCTGGCGGTTCAACGTGGCGGACTCCACAGAATGCGACCCGTGGCATATGTACATACAAAAGCCTCATTCCAAGGTAACACAAACATAACGATTTCTATATTCAAGTGATTGTACTCTAATAAAAACATCGTTATGCATATAATATTCAATTTTTGAGAGTAGATCCTCCTAAATGTTACATACTGGACCTTTAATGTTTGGAGCCATGCAACAAGCTTTGACTGGCCTCTGCCCGCTCCCCTCTCAGCTGCAGTTTGCTCCCAGATTTTATACTCAACCACTCACAGCAGGTTGACAGATTACCTCTGGTTCAGAGCCCAAACGGACAGTGTCCAAGCCACGATAAACACAGCAACCATTATTTCTGCTTCCAGTAATCTACCTACTCTGGAGCCAGATGACGTGAAGAAGATAACAGCACAGTGGCGGGGGCTAAGGGAAATGGAAGGTATTCAATCGCCCTCTTTTTTACTGGACCTGTCCGATAAAAAGCCGATATTGTAGCTTTGAAGTTGGTGTTATTCCTTCTGTACGTCACTGAAAGCTGACATGATGGAAAAAGGAGGGAGAAAAAAAAGAAGCCTAATGTCCTAATTAAGATTGCACAGATTTGATGATGGAGCAGAGAGAAGGCAATTGAAGCCATGTGTTCATTTTCTCCCAACCTCCACTCCATGTGTTCTCTCTCCTTTCCCCAACCAATTCTGACTCTCTCTTTTCTGAGAGGACTCATTAAATATCAGGAATGATTATTGGTGTTTGGTTTGATCTGTACATAAATTTACACGTTACTGTAGTCTTGGCCAGATCTCAAAATGGATAACACTGAAAAATACAGGTTACAGTACATAAATTACAAAAACACTCCCTTTCACTCCCCCGAACTTGTGATTGTTGTGTTAAAGCCCACTTGAGAGACGATGTGTTGGCAGGTTGCCGAGCAGACCATCACAGGTTTGATCCCAGCAGCAGCAGCAAGTAGTTTTCAGCAGGTATGGTCTCTGTTTGAGTGTCTTTTAACTCAACACTGAAGCCTTACCAGCTCTCTGTTTCATTCTAGGCATATGGATAAGAGCCAGATGCCTAAAACAAAATTTAAATAAAGTGTTACTCAGAAGAGAGACCTCTCAGCTGCAGTAAACTAAACCCAGGGACTCTCTGTACTCTCCAATTGTGTCTGTATAACCCCTGCCAGAAGCAGCAGCTGTGACAGTGTGTCTAAGCGTGTGTGTGTGTCTGTGTGTGTGTGTGTGTGTGTGTGTGTGTGTGTGTGTGTGTGTGTGTGTGTGTGTGTGTGTGTGTGTGTGTGTGTGTTAATTGTGGGGTTCTGGTGACTGGGGAGAGGCCCAGGTGTTTGTTTATACTCACACCACCATAAGTGGCCATAGCTGGAGCCTGCTGCTGGGCTGGGCTGAGCTTTAAGACCAGGCGACAGGGCTTTGTGTACAGAAGCTGCTCACTGTGCTTACATTTACAGAACTTGTTCAAGTATCACACTGCCATTGTGCAAACAGACCCAAACAAGCCACTGACAGACACAGCCCACACAGTTCTTTAGAGGGTTCAAGACACAAAACATTTTTTTTTTTTTTTTACAGTGCTGCTAACTCAACAGTAAACAATATAATTTAGAACTGAAGGTTGGATATACTGTAGTCATCCGTTGTATGCTTTTGTATCTGTAAGTTTCTTATTATATCAATTTTACAATATTGATAAACTGTAAGAATCTCTTATTAAAAGAGGTTTAAATGTAAGTAAGTATGTAATGTAGCAGATGAACAGAAGTCTTTGTTTTCTTATCATTATACGGGGCAGGACAAGACATTTTTGTCCACGTCCAATGTGGGATTAAATGTGTCTTTTGTATATTTGTTGTCTTCTTTTTTGTTGTATAAATATTCAGACAAATGAGTAATGTATTTATTGTTTCTAATAGAATAAAAACAAACCGAACCAAACCATTTACATTTCATCAACTAGCAGATACACAATATAAGAGTTATGTTGTCCACAGATACATAATATGTGTTGAAGATTCTTCACTGGCCAAGGCTACATAAAAGTTTGTAAGCCTGTGATGAAATCTTATTTTCTAACAGCTCAGAGGCAGATTTTAATAAATAATTAAAAATGCACTTTTATCTCAGAATTTGCCGTACAAGTGAGTAGGTGGTGAGTCTTTCTTGAAGTGCTAACTTGTCTTAAACCATATCAGTCAGAAGAAGCTCTTTCAAAAGCATTTCTACCCTTCAAAGGATACATTCTGGGAACTTGAATACTAAGACACTTAACTCGAACACAAACAAAGTACTTGATCAAATACCTGAACATGACACATGTGATTGTTAAACATCTAATTCAAAACCATGAGCTTCAATCTGCTCCTATATCTGACAACACTTTTTCCACAAGATTTTGGGACCTAGCTACTGGGATTTTCTCCCATTCAGCCACAAGAGCATTAGTGAGGTCGGGCTTTGTGCTGGGAGATAAGTCGGCATTTAAAATTCATCCAAACAGTGTTTGATGGGGTTAAGGTCTCTGCATGGGGAATCCCAGAACTCTTCTCCGAAAACAATTCCTTTCCAGGCCTTGTTTGTGCATGGGGATACTGTCATGCTGAAACAGGAAATGGCCTTCCGAAGATGTTGTCAAAAAAAGCTGGAAGCAAAGTACTGTCTAAAATATCACTGTATGTTGTAAAATTATGATTCCCCATAACTGGAACAAAGGGGCCAAACCATTAAAAAAAAACAACTCACCAGATCCCAAACTAAAAGTACACAAAAGTGACAGTGGTGTCCACATACTTTTGGCTGTACAGTGTATTGATGGTAGCAGTATTGCAGTTACTTTAGCCCATGTGTCACATGATCCACCCATATGGTTGCAGCAGCACACTGACCTGTCCTTTTTAAAAAATATTTAGAAAGAAGCCCCTCTTCTTTATGTGCCAATACAGCCACGGAAATATTACTGCAGCTAATGGTTGAATCATTAGCACATGTCGCACATGTGTATCAAATGAATTGTCATAAACTGAGCAAATACTGTAGATGTATCTATCTACCTTGAGCTGCAGGCATTGACTAGTTAGCATGTTTCTTCAGGCAGCTTGGCTCAAACAGTCACCTTGGAAGACAGAAGACTTGGAAGTCCTACACATGCCATAATCAGTTAATAGCTTCATGAAACAAATCTCCTCACAACAAAAATACTTAAAAAATACACAGCTATGTACCATGTAGTACATGTAGTAAAGATATGTACTAGCTATACCAACAATAAACCAGTACCATTTCAAACTGAAAAAAAAACATGGCAATTCTTCTGGAAACATCAAATTTGTCCCAAACTATCCACCCAAAATTAGTTTCTAAATTAATTGGAGGTGAGAAATAGGCCATGCAGTTGCGGAGTCATGCCTCATTTTACATCTACAATACCTAGTTTTAACAATTGTTAACACGTTTCAGGGGGTTTGAAAAAGCATTCTGTTTTTATCTAAAAGTCCACTGACGGGTCCAGTAAGTATGTGAGCGAACTGATGAAAATCCAGTTCCAGACATAAAGCTTGCAGTGAAAACTTAGCTCATCAGATGTATTCTGTCTTTATGAGGTTCAAAGAAATTGACAAGCTGTGTCCAAATGTACATGTATTAGAATTGGAGATTTCTTGATAGTAGCCTTAAATACAGAAAGGGAGAAACAAGATACATCCTTGGTCATTCTGTATGTCTGCAAAAAACCTTATAAAACAAATGCAACTGAAGAATACAAAGGTTGTCCTTAGTTAAAACTGTATTGTTTGAATCCATGCAGGCTGTTGTCAGTGTGTCGTCAGACATCAGACATGTCTTTCTGAACTGCATATTAATTTAAGTAAGATTGAGCATCAGTTTAGAGATCAGACAAATGCTCTTATGCAGCATTTGAAAACCTTCTAAGGTAATCCAAACATAACGTCACAGTAATCACAAAGTAATTGTAAGGAATGTAATCTCTGCACTATAATCACAGTAAATTATGCTGAAATATTTCACTTTCACTACTCTAATAAATTAAGACCCTGTGTTTATTCTAGATTTAGTGCATCAATGCAATTTACTAGCTAGAAAAAAATTGCAGAAACGTACATTTGCTTTGTTTTCAACAATATGGGACTATCTACTAATTCATTCAATCATTCATTAAACCTTTATTTATACTCGAGAGATCACTGAGGGGCGACCCTCATCTCGAGTCAATTTACAAAAACAACAACACATTCACTGTATTGTATTAGTTCTGCCTGAACACAGTGAGGACAGATCTCCTCAACAGCCTTTGCAAAACAAAACGCATCCAGGCATAAACCCCACCACACAAAACACCAATGAATGTACACAAACACTGACTCAAGCACTCACACGTAACCTGTAGAATTCTCTGTCCCACAACACCTTTCTCTCAAAAACTACTAAAATACAATTATAATGGACACCTTGTCCATTATATCACATGCATACAGATCTACTTCTGAACCATGACGCTTCTGTGTAGCCCGAGTCTCGTGCTATCTTCAGCCCTAATGCACTGACAGTTAATGTGTGTCTTAGTTATTCAGGTTAATGCCTTCGCCTGTGGGGCATATTTCCATTCTGGCTCCCATTGCACACACTTCCTTTTCCGAACTACTGCGCCATTACTGTTCACTCACGCTGATGTCTTTGGTATAACGACAGCCACACTGCAGGGAATAAAACTCTTCAGAGTGTGTCATACAATGTGTCATACTGTGGTAGCCATTGTAGGAGTATCTGTACCACAGTTGTTTATACCTATAGTACAATGTCACACAGCAGGATCTAATTAATATATTTAAACCCAAAATTCTACAACAAATATAGCAAACTCTTTTCCATGTAACTCCTTTTGTGGGAAAAAAAATTATTAGTCAAGCAAAATAGTAAAGATAAATGGGACTGTACTTGCTAAATCTACAACTGGAGCAAAAGTCAAATAATTTTTGAGGACAGGAGAGGTGTGAGAGAGATTACAACAAACTAAGAATGCAACAATCATTCAGCTGTAGCTCAGGTACCTGCAGGTAAGTGTTTCATGGTAGGGTTTGATGCTGGCGCTGCGGTCCCTTCGGACGGGCCCGGGCTCAATGGTGGGCAGGCCTGTGGCAGAGGTGGTGGTGGTCCACGTGGAAGAGATCCTCCTCAGAAGGCCAGGGTGGAGACTCCGCCTTATACGCTGCACACACAGGAACATGCATACATAGACACAGTTAAGACTACAGGAAAAACCCTTCAGAAGAATTTAAAAATATATCATACAAAACTAACTGCAGAAATAAAAACATGGCTGTAATTGTGTTTGCATTAAGATAAAAGCTCTAAAAGTACTCCCACCTGTAAGATAAAGTTCATGCTTATTTGCTTTGTCTGGAGTCAAATGGATCATCTAGATGAGACAGTTGTTTTTCCTGAATCTGCCTAAGATGAAACAAATTGTGCAGGTGATATAACCTGGAACATTATTCATGAGTGGAGGCACTATTTTTTTTCTTCACTGGAGAGAAGAGAATCGACACTGACTAGAAGATATTGGCAGGCAGATGTGCCAGTGATGCCCCTCATGGTTCATTATTAGATACAATGTCAGTCTTGCATTGCACAGATACATTTCATCATAGAGATTCTGCCTCTCTGCTTCTCGTTCTCTCTCAACGTCTCTTTTGTCTCATTCTCTCAGTCTCTTTCTTTATCTGTCTTTTCATTTCTCTTTCTCTGGGATTCCCAGTGGTCTGTGCCCTTGTGATGCCTCCATCTGTTCAGTGCCATGCAGCAGCTTGGCACAGCAGCACTAAACATGGCAGGCTCTCTCTCTCTCAGGGTGACCTAGTAGAGATCGCCTTAGAATGCTGAATGAGCCCATTCACAGCAAGGCGTCATATACTGAGTGCAAACACACGCACACACACACACACGCACACTCATACACAGGTTTAGGTCACTAAGGAACTTTAGGAACTGACTTACACTTACTTTAGAGGCTTTACCATAACCTTAATTTAAACTGTTCTGATTTGAGCATGTTCTGAATTCAGCTGCAGATGAACCGATTTGTGAATGCAAATGCGTACTAACAAACAGGTTACACCTACAAAAGGACTATGCACAATCAGTGCATACTATATGTACATAAACAGACATAAAATTTCATTTATGCAGATCCACAGGCCAGGGGTCTCCCCAAAATAGCCTGTGTTTGATGGTGCTATGATTAGAAAAAGGTTTTTTTGTATACTGACATTGCATGAAAATACTATATGTCCCGATTCTAAAACGTGGAATAGTGGTGGTATGGCATGAGTTTGTAGCACCAAGGGTCCATTCTTTAATGAAAGCCCTGCAGACACAAACCAAAAGTAGAAACACACACGACAGAAAGACACACAGATCACCATCGGCAACAGCATGGCAAACCAGGCCATCTTCACAAAAAAAATAAAAAATAAAATACAGCTGATCCCTGCTGCTGTCAGTGTTGATTCGAGTCTGTAACTGGACTTATCTCTATAACTGTTTAAGTGACAAAAGTGAGATCAGATTGTGTGTTTTGTCATTCATGTTTTTTGATGTTTGTACAGTATGTGTTTCTAATGCAGTGGCTTTTTTGCTGCACAGAGAACAAGCTCTGTGTTGGACAGAAAATGAGTTTTGGAAAAGTACTTGAAAGGCATCAGTATGCACCACGTTGGACATAAAACTCTGCCAGGAGGCAGAAAAGCAAGTGCAGGGCTTTCCACTCCTGCACTAACCACCTCCACTCCTCCTGATATTCTCCTCCCAGGCAGTTAGAGCCACGCACGGGGTCTCTGGGGAGCAGAGTCTTAATGAGTACAGCCTCACTGGCCACTTTAACAGGCGCAGTTTGCCTTAGCTACTTTTAGTTAGTTCATATGATGTAAAAATACACCTGTCAGCCAAGTGATTGGCTGGATGGCATGGCAGCCATCGACTACACACAAGTTTCCAAGACAGCCAGGATAAGTATCTTCCTCAAATAAATATCTGTATCTGTAATTGTGGTGGGGGTATGTTTTGTTGACACTTACTCGTCCCTATTTGTTACCTTTTGAGAGTTGCGTTCAATTTCATGTTGCCTCTCCTCTTCTACTTGACTCACATACACACATACAGACTGGCTGGCTCTACACATCTGTCATGTTGACACAGCTGTGGCTATGAAAGGGAGAACAGTGCTCCGAGCAGTAGACACTCTCTATTTTTCTTCACTCAACTCTATGAAAATACACTACTTCATTTGATGCTAAAAGCTCTGGGAGCAGGAAGCACTCATTAGCTGAAACATGGCTGAAAGATTAACGTGTGTGGAGCGCTGTGTGGTATATAAATCATTTGGCCGTAATAAACTGGACTGCATTTCCATCTAAGGATTATTTTCAGCCGTGTCTAAAACAAAATGTTATTTGTCTGGCCCATACTACTTTTGATTAACAATTCTGACATTTGATATTTGGGTGAAATATCCTCACTTTCATCTAGACTTCCTAGTTCTGCATATCTCACCAGTAAAGTGTAAATCCTCTCACTTGGTCATCATTAATTTCCTTACCTTGTGGATGGATATCTTCTCTCCTTTCTCAGGTCCATCCTCTGAGTCGGAGAGGGTGTAGGAATCACTGGTGTTAAGCAGGGGAGTAGGGCGTGGCCGGTGCAGCGGCTGGAAGGTGAGCTGGGTGGTTAGTAGATTGCTGACGGCCCGCAGTGAAGTGCAGGTGTTGGGGGGCAGAGAGGGGTCAGCCAGCAGGTCTGTGATTAGTCCATGGGCTTCTCCCATCACTGCTATGTCCACCATGACGGTGGTGCCTGATGACTATGGGGTGACAGGGAGACAGAGACACAAGAAATAAACATCATTGCTGCTGTGGCTAATGTGAGTTGATGCTAATTAATGGCTGGGTCTGATAGCTGCCGTATGCAGCTTCTTGGTGGCAGCCGTGAAGAGCAGGTGCGTAAACTAAAGCCATTTTCACACATAGTTCCCAGGAAATTACTTGGATAGCCTTTCAGGCACCGCTGGTGATTTTCACTATTTTCTCATAAGTAGCCTCATAAAAGAAGGGATTTCAGTTGGCATGCGATGACAATGCTAGAATACATGGGGCGAGGGACAGTCCAGCAGATGGCAGTTCTTCTGCTTCAGTCACCTTGCTACAGTGATGTCAAAGTGTACTCCAAGGTGTGTCAGTGCCCTGTGACGTCATTGTTAGATGTGGTTACAGATGAACAGGAACACAACTACCTCCAGTGGTGATGCTGACTATGATTTGATACACGGATACACACAAAATAAGCTGAGAGGACAGTGGAACACTGCTTTTCTGGCTGGTATTAAGTTACTCTGTAAATGTTTATTGCACAATAATGTATCATTATAATCAAATATATGATAATACAACAATGGTGGAGGAATTTCGCTTTTGATACCGTTAGTATTTACATTTTTCATATATTTATACTTTTCTTTCAATAGAATTTTGAATGCAGGACTTTTACTTGAGTATTATTATACTGCTGTATTGCTACTTTTACAAAAGGATCTGGATACTTCTTGCACTACTAGTCTTTCTTTACTCATAAAATATTATATCCCAGTGACAACTATGATACAACAATTGATATTGATATTAAAACTACCACAGTATGCATGCAAAAATAATGTGGGAGGCTAATTGCCCAGCGTAAATATTCGTCTTTGTCCCATGTTAATACAGCAGGTATTATATGAGAACAATGACAACACACAGCCATAACCAAATCACATTTCAAAGGTGCACTTTGTTCAGGGAAAATCCAACATGGCACAAAATAAAACAAATGATCCCCATGAACAATACCCAAACACAACAATATGAAAATAAGAAAACAATAGACAATTGATTTTGGACCACTATTATAGGGGACATATTCAATCATAGTGTCGGACTGAGATTCTGCCAAGCTTTGTTAAGTGTATTATAGTTGTGGTATCATACCAAGCAACGCACTCTCTTTTTAGCTCAGAGAAAGCAAAAACAAGGAGCAGAGTAGGGAGTGGTTCTTCACAGTAGTAGGAGTTGACATACTTGCAGCTTTGTAATGAATGGACACATTTGCAGCGTCTCAGCTAGAATCTGACCTTTGACTTCCTCACTCCGGACCCCTCACATGGTCAACAGCCATAGTCTGTTTCTGACCATCACACACACCCCACACCCCACAGCTTTGAATGCACCAGCGTAGTGTGAGCCGGCCTTGTTTTTGCAGAGTAAAGTTCACAACCCACTCTTAATTGCCGTGCCTAGAGCAGTTGAATAACCACAACTAAACACAGGTCAGTTTTGGCTGCCAGCAAATTTATCTAATAAGCTCATGAGTTCCCTTTCCCCCCAAAGAATGTTATCAGATTTTTCTCCCCCAATGTCCCATTCACTTTGACACCAGCTGCCAGGCACCCAGAATTATTCTGTTTACACTGGCTAAGTGGCAAGAGGTTGACCTGAACAACACATGTGTGAGGACCTTTCATTCGTCTCCACTGGTGGGAACAGTGAAGGTCTCGCATTTTATTTTCCTAGTCATATCAGATAAGTCGCTGTGTTTATACAATTTTCCTATTGGTCTGCAAAAATACAAAAGGCGTGTGTTCACCGGGTGTGAGGGCATTCCTCCATGATGACACGCATTTATTGATAAATCTGACACATGACCAGCACTGGGAACGAGCTAATCTCTTTTACAGACAAGGAGACGTCCAGGGGGACGGCTGATGGAACATTTCTGGACAGACGACTATTGTACTCCTCTCATCCCTCCTCTCCTCTACATTGTCTCTTCATCTTCTCCTCCCTCACCTCTTTCCTATACTCTGCTCTATTGCATGCTGTGAGGATAAGATGTAAACACCTGTCTCTCAGCTCATTTACAGGCTGATTTAAGAGTTTGCTAAAGAGGGGGGTTAAGAAGAATATAGCTGATAACATCTGGCTGGTTTCAACATCTCCAAACATGCATGCGTGCACATGCACACACACAAACTAAACTTCTACAAACATTACTCCTGGTTCTCACACCACAGCCAGCTCAGATGTTGAGTGAAAACATAAGTAACATATAGAAATAGTGACACACAAATAAACACATAAGCAAATACAAAGGGCACCATCCTGAACATGCAGCACAGAGACAAACACGTGTGCACACACATAAATACACATCTGCAAGGAGGATGAGTGTTGCATCACTAAGCTTGACTAACTCCTAAATTGGACCTGAGTGGCCATAAAAGGGGAGGGAATGATGAATGTGCTGGGTTTGATTTTGCACTGGGAGCAAGCCACTTAATGCCCAAAACCTGACATGAAAAATAAAGCGTAGTGAAAGGCTCCAGGTGCATGGGTAGCATTTGAGACATGAACTTTGGGACACAGTGGGGATCTTGCTTCCACTCAATTTGTACTATTCTTATTGACCTGAAAACATGGCTGTCTGCTACAATATACAAGCCATTATCTTGCTGTATTAGAAAGAATGTGATGTTAAAATATATCTACCTTAATCCTCTCTCTGAACCTCTTTACAGAATGTTTGTGAGAAGGGGCGCTTTGAGCTATTAACCAAAGCTGACTGCAGAGAAAGATAAAGAATGTAAAGTCCTGACCATCTCTGGCTCAAGCTTTTACATATCCCTTAAAAGTTGTGTCTTGGCTGGAAAATACATCCTGATGTCCCTAATCTTCCAACAATCTGCAACCTAAAACTTCAGAATCATCAGTGGACATCCTGTAACGGATCAAATAGTAAGTTACATAATATCATAAGGTTATATAATCGTTTCCTGTCAGGTTAGATGATCAGTTTCATTCATCAGCTATGGCCACCTCGGTAGCCGCAGGTTTCACTTTCTGAGAGGATAGATCTCACAAGAACCCCACAGAGTGACCCCTGCCTGGGAAAAAGCACTGAGTATCACAGAAAAAAAGCTATTGGACAGATGTTATGATGGAGTATTTAAAAATGTGTAGTATTTTTCTGAAAGTACTATGGCGGATGTTCGCATCTTGGACACATCTGCAGTGTTTGTAAATTCCATTAAATGCAGTGATTAAAATCGGTGTATTTTAACCTTCCAGTCAGACTGTATGCGTTTAATGGCTTATTTCTAAATGGTTCCCCAAGCATACAAGCTCTTTTTACTGCTGCCCTACACCACATTCATAGTAACACACATTCACATCTGGGAACTGTCAACAACCGTCTGCCACTGGCTCACACTCCTCTCTGTAGAGATTTTTCTGAGAAATACACCCTTCAGAGTTAGTCAGGGATCCAGCACCTCGGAGAGTTGTGTGGAGGAGATATGGCAGAAACTACTTTAAATTATAGAGCAAAAAGAAAAAGGTTGTCTCTTTGATCATCGAAACAACAGCTTCCTCGGTTTAAAAATGATTCATCATTCCTGTGTACCCAAGTGAGATGGATCAATTTTTCCTTTTACAGGCTTTTTAAAGCCTGTTTTTAACATACACACAGCCAGTGACCATGAAAACAGCTTGGCAGCAGCAGGCCTTCGTGTTGGGAAAGTGACAAACTGACAGCCCCATATCTGGTCAGATTAATACAAATCTATTGAATTTACACAGGTGTTTGATGTACAATTTTGGATGACTGAGAGATAATGCTGGGCCCAATGATAAAACTTTTGGATAGTAAAAACAACTATGGCCTCCTCCTCCTTGTCCCAGCAACACTAACAGTGTTAAAGGTATAGTTTGACATTTTGGGGAAATACATTTATTTGCTTTCTTGCTGAGAGTTAGATGAGAAGACTGATACCACTCTCAAGTCTCTATGGTAAATATAAAGCTAAGCTAACCAGCTGCTGGTACAGTGGATAACAGCTAGCCTGGCTTTGTCCAAAGGTAAAAAAAACTGTCTACGAGCAACTTAAAAGTTTACTAATTAACACTGTACCTAAAGACGGACGACATGACAAACATCTTTCTCCCAAAATTTGTTTCTGTCATTTTTGGCAGTTCATGCTGATGTATGTGTTCATATTTCTAATAAGTTTGGTTTTATTGATTGAGTTTGATTCTACAAAAAAGAGGGTGGGATGTCACAACTGAAAGCTGCAGTAGTAGTCGTGGAGGCATCTGCAGAGTTCGGGAATTGAACGAGAGGAGATGCAACCGTTAACTCTCCATAACTGTGATTATCCGTTTAAAGCTGACAAAATCAGTTGAGCTGCAGTAAACTAAGTATTTTTTCAAAAATGTATTAATTAAACTATTGATTTAAATAAATGAAGCAGTCACAAAACAATATATGTTGTAGCCTGTGGACCAGTGCTCTGAGGGAAGGACAAGTATATGATGATTACAATTGTATAGCAGTTAAATACATTGCTCAAGGGCACCTTAACAGTTTGGTCATTTAGGGTAATATTTATTCCATTTACTTTGGAGCCAATTTTTTGTGCCATTGCGGATTAACTGTATGACCTTGTGTTATATCCAAGAAGCTTGGAGCATGTGGATTCTTTCCTGCTTGCAGCCATTTGGTATTTTTGTGGCTGGCGTATCTTTTGCACTTAACTGGCAGGCAGCACGCTGCTTTTAAAAGGCAGGACATTTCCTGAGTTTACTGATGCCAGCCCTTGACACACCCACTGATCCTCTGCCAGCACCTCTGGTCACAAAATTACCACAAATCTCTGTGATATTTGGTCACAAGCTTCTAGCTTTTGTTGACATCCTACATTTGATAGAACTGACTACCAGCATCAATAAACAGTTTTTTTATGACTCCTCAACAAGCCATGTCATATACTAAACCATGCATGAACATTCTGTTATGACATTTTACTATGAATAACAACGTTGTACATGATCAATGGTCTTAATTGCCTGTGTGAACAGAGTTTGGAACAGTACGTCAATAGACATGCCATAGATTAACACCCGCGCAGCAGTTCATGTAAACCAAACTAAGGGCCAGTCAAAACAAACCAGCAATCACTCCTGAAAAGTGAAATGCTGTTTGTCCACACAGTGTCTCTGCACTCAAGGTCCTATTCAGCTGTGTGTGTAGCTTTAGTTTCAGTAATGTGCATCAAGAATGCACCAAATAATATTTACAAATCATTCTTAGCGCTGGTTTAATCCAGATATTGTACCAGATCGATGAAGATTTGACTAGAAACACTGGTTTAAAACCACACCCATTCATGATAGGATATTAAAACACACATAAAATAAATATGGCTGAAAATACTGGCGTGCACATGCATCTACTATATTTCAACTTGTATATAAACTTAAACATTTCTCATGTGAATCATGTATTACAAACAACCCCATCGACTACTGCAAAAACACTGAGCAATGCAAGTATGATTGTTAGTGTTCCTGCTGTGTCCACATGTTTTTTTGCCAATAGCTCTGCAAAAGACAGATGAAGTGCATTTGATGCAACAAACAAAACACTGATCCTTCTGTCTAATGATGATTATTAATGGGATATACAGACAGAAAGGTCACATATTTGTAATTTCTGAGACGGTCCACTTAGCTGCACTTTTAACCCCTCGGCTCCCTCTTCTAAACATACAGTCCTCTAAGCCTCCAGTAAAACACCAGTGATATGTGGGCTTCTTAAAATTGTGCAATAGTGAGAATATAATGAATCCCACAGGAGAGCTACAGACTGGACAAATGCCTCAGGGGCCTACTGGAGAAAGAAAGGTATTTGATTCCCTTAGTAAAGACATTTCAATAACGTAAGCAACTCTCGCTCTTCATAAGGCTCACAGATACACGCACTGCAGTGCTTATTTTACAATTAACCCCTCGCGCAAATCTTCACACTCTGAGAAATGCAGGAATGTGCTGAGCAGGAAGCTGGGGAATATATTAAAAAATACTTAAGTGCATCCATTTTTTGTCTTAGGTTGATTTCATTTAAACATAACTCTCGAAAAAATCATTACCATGCAGTTTTCTATTTCAGTGGCAGTGCAGTTAGTGTAATAGCCCTGATTATATCTGTCGAGATGGATTAGTTGAAGAGGAGCCTGGGAGATGGTGATGTTCTCTACTTAAAATAACAGAGCAGTGATACAGTGTGAATCACAGTAAAACGGTAACACAAAACTCCACTGAGACACTCCTCGCTCTCTGCCTCAACTGCTACAGCCAAAACAACGCCCAGCAGCACTGCACTTCCCACTTCCCAACCAACCCTCACCCCCACCGCGACCCAACTCCCCTCACAACCCTTCCGTCAGCTCAGACCGAAGCTGTGCTGAGCCAGGTCCTCAGCTGCGGCCAGGATACAATTACACGCTATTACATATTTTATTGAAAGGGGGTGTGTTGGGGGACGTGGGGGGGGATCAAAACAAAACAAAAAAGAATAACTGCCTCATTAAAGATTTACTGGGAAAGGTCAAGCCAATTGACCCCTAACATGCAGCCATCTCATCTCCAAGAAGAGGCTTGTTTATCCTTCCACATATTTCAGGGTGTTTGATTCCAGCAAAGGAGCCAACTAAGATTAAAAAAAAACAGAGATAGAGAAACAGACACAGAGACAGACTGGTAGAGGCAGAAGCAGAAAGGACAGAGCAAACAAAAGGGATGCATGAGGTAAAACAGATGGCTTATGCTGGGCGATGAGTGAGTGAAGATTTACCACACGATACAAGTGGTTAAACATCCATCATCAGCACTGCAGCGGGCACAGTCACAAGTTTTTAAAAAGTCTTGCTAACTGAATAGGGATACTATAAATAAAACCAAGTTAAAATGCCATTCTACTCCTCAGTTTCTCTCAGAGAAATGGCACCAGCTCAGAGGTGTCTCACTGTTGCACGTCAAAAAGTAAAAGCTTGAAAATTGCTAATGCCTCGGTATCATTTGTGGCAGATCCAATTATTTCCCAGGCAGAGGACAGTCAAAGAGTGTGTTTTCAGTCTCTTTCAGCCTTGAATTTAGTCTTGCCACAAGACCCAATTTAATGAGAAAATGCTCTACTAGACCTTCATGATGCGACCAACCAGAAAGAGGGCAATGACCTTTCACAACTCCCAGACCCGCAGTTTAAGAAATGCTGATCTCAAGTGTTTGAAGCGCTCACAGTGATTTTGAGAAATCTTCAACATGACTGCAATGTCATGGCTTGTCTGCCTCACAGACCACTCTTCCAGCCTTTCTGTAATTTAGAATAACAGTCACAAGATCCCGGCCTACAAACACTCTTTTCTCCGATAATCTCCCCGGGTAATGTTCCAAAACCAATGTGTTTTCAAGTTGAATACAAATATTTAAATAGTTCTTTCCATACATAACTTCACTGTCAAATCCTAAGCTAAAACATCCACCGCAAGCTTTGGACGGGGAAAAAAAAGGAAAAAAAAGAAAGACGTGGTTTGGAAAATGAGCCTGCTAATGTGTGCATGTTGGCGAATATGACATAGTAGAGTTCAATCAAACACTCTGGTCACCAAAGAGCAGAGTGTGTGATTTACACACTCTACGAGGTGCCTTGTGCACCATAGTGAAGTGCTACCAGCCTCTCTGACCAACAACCTGGTCCAAGAGAGCAGAGCCAAGGGAAAATAGCCACGAGATGGAAAGGGATGCCAACATAAGCCTTGACTTCTTACACGTCTTGTCAGTCTCTGGACTATTACAGAATTTCACTGACGAACGCATAGCACCAATCCAAAAAAAAAGACTGAACTGACCACTGAGTCTAAATGGCAGCTTAGGGAATGCATCAATCAAAAAATATGTGCTTGCCTACTAACCCCACATAACAAATTGATATGAGCCTTGGAGAATATTTCAAAAGGGTAACATGCTATTTCAAAGTTTCTCCGCTCTGAGGGGATAACACTGTAAGGCTGATATTGGGAACAGATATACCACTATATGAGACTTAGCATCTCTAGGAAATTATACAGTGTGTAATTTGATTTCAAGCCCAATCCTGTGCTGTACAGTTATGATCGCTATTCATGAAAAAAATCCCCTTATTTTCCTGCAACCACAACTTTTTGCAATTTTTTTGCTCCCCAAGTGTACACTGTCAGCACAGATGCATTGTCTATTCATTTTTAAAGGATATCCTCCTGATAGGAGAACATGTAGTAGAGAACACACACATACTGTATATGGCCATGCCAACGTCAAGGGCATTGTTTGTTCACTATGTACTCCAGCGTCCTGGCCTGTGGCTCTGTTGCAGCTCAATACATCAATTCCCAAACATCCAATCCCCCAACCCCCCAAAGATGGGAAAGGTAATCTCAAGGATGTGGCTGTGTGTCTGGCCTCCACAAGCTGTGCCCCCTGTACTGAGTCCTTCTAGTTTCAATTCCCTGGCCTTTAATGGCTTGTGCAGCGCCTTACAGACAAATCACAGACCTGCGTCCTCTAGACTAACAGAGTACAACAAGGACTCTGGTGGGAAGTGACACCTCTGGACATGCTGTTTAACCACGGCTAAAATGAGTGGGCGAACAGGCCTGTTAGTGGTAGGATTTCTGCTATTTGCGTCATTTATAAGGTGTGTGAAGGCGAGTGACAGAGATCAGGGAGCTAGTTCCTGTGTGTGTGTGTGGGTGTGTGGGTGTGTGTGTGTGTTTTCCTGTCAGCTGTTTATCATTATTGTCATTACTAGTGTGTCTCTTTTTTCTGTGGACAGTGCTAACCTGTGATCCTCGGGAGCCTCTCTTGTGGTCCCAATCCGAGCGGGAGAGCATCTGTGGGAAAGCAGAGACACAGACATGTTCAAACCACAGTCCTGTACATCCTGTTTCTGTTAGCGTCCTACAACTTGCCTCCTTACAAAGGCCACACCGTTATGGAGATATACTGCGCTGTAGCAGAAAAGAGGAGGAGCAGGAGTGGTGATGCAGAGAGTCGAGGAAGTGCGGGGGGAATGGAAACGCTCATAAATGCAAAAATGGGTTTTGTCTATTTTTTTCACTTTCCATTAAGCACAGACGTCTAATGCAATTTCACAGTCAGGTTTGGTTTACTTTAGCTCCTATTCACTGCCTAAGGGGCTAGTGGAGGCTGAGGATTTTTACGCTGTCTAATTACCAGCCACTGTGTCCTCCCACAGGCCTCGTAAACCCGTTTTCCACTTTCTTGGGAGTCACCGAATGCATCAGCACAGCTCTGTCACCGATTTTTGGTGAACACGTTGCAGGAGAGCCAAGTCAACATCTCCCCCAATCCCCTCCCTCCCCGGCTCTGTTAGGGCATTCTGGCCCAGAACTGAGAAGCCCTGAGAAACCCAGCATGTCGCTGTGACAAATTGCTGCTGCTGATACTGAGGCAAGGGGCTCAGTATAAGAGCCAAACAGATAATTCAGGTGTAATTTACTGTGTCAGTGGAGGTCATTGAGTTGTGTCATGCTGTGAGTGAAAACACTGGGAAAACACTGGATTTCAGTAGCCAGTTATGTCTGGTCAGCAGTGTTGTTCTGTGGGTTGTTTTCCCACAATGCTGCTTGGTTCTAAACAAATACAATAGTTCACTAATATTACTGTTTCTGTCTTATTACAGAGTTGTTTACTTTGTATATTTTTGACTATAAAAAATACAGGTATATTATGTTTACTGTACCCAGTTTTCTCTCTGTAACTCTCGTGTTTAACAATGCAGATGCTTTACTTTTGTGTGAGGTTTTATGACATCTGGCTCTGATACCCATTACAATTTTGTGTAGGTAAATGGAAAATTAAAAGCATTAAAAATGAAATTAAAAAATGTGTCTTAGCAGAAGCTAAGAAACAAAGTCCACAGACCTTGCTGCCAGCACTTCATAGAGACTATTTCTTTAGTAGGAAGTAGTGCTAGTGAAAACTATTGAAAATGAGTAAAATAAATAAATAAATAAAAATATGTTTATTAACTTCTCATCCTGTAAAACTCTCTAATTCTCAGATGTTATGATTTTATACTTTTATTTGATAATAAACTAAAAATATATGGGTTTTGGACTGTTATGGACAGAAAACAGAATTTGAATAGATACTTTTATTTTATACAAAAAATTATGAATCAGTTAATCAAGGAAATAATCGGCAGATTAAATGATAATGAAAATATAAATGTCAAATCTTATGCAAGAATCTAAGTTTGGGGCGGAACTTCAGGTATTACTTATGAACAGTTGAACAAAATCTCAGCTTCATCAACACTGTTTGCATCGTTTGATCACATTTGATTTTAAGAAAAACATCAGCTGTCATCACATTTTGATTCAAATATTGCTAAATCTTGAAAATCCCCTTTTCCCAGTGAAAAAAAAAGCACAGACAGAAACCTCTCATGTGAAATCGCAGGAACTGTTCCAACTTTTTAAGAAAGTTGTGCATTCACTGGATCCCATCGCTCATAGTAAGAAGCAGATTGAAAAAATATGTTTTCAGGACCTTTAATAGCCTGCACTGTAAATCAAGTTGGGAGTCATAGCAGTTTTAAATCCTGTGTTTTGAATGTTAGTGATGACTTAGTTTACATTTTAATCGTCAAATGTATCTTTAGAACAGTTAGCTGGGCAGGACACATGGTCTAGTCAGTTGTCTACTATGTGGGATAGTTATTGTACACCTCACCCTTTGGTCAAGGCTCTGGCAACAATGGGCACTGCTCCACAGAACGTGGTGACCCTGACAGTAAGCAGACAAGGTCACCAACATAACAATCGCACACATCACTATGGATGCACACCCATTCATAAAGTGCAACCGCTTTTCCACAGTTTGACATTTAGGAGCTCAAAAAAAAACCAAAAAACAATATGAGGGGCTTGCCCTTTTCTCAACAAACATCTTCATTTTCTCATCCTCCATTTTCTAGCCTGAGGACTGAGGAGCCTATATTCTCTGATCATGAGCACGATAATATCTGTGAGCCACTTTAAAGCTCCATCAAGCGTGCACAAAGCTTCTCATGCATTAAAATAACCATACTAGATGGGAAAGGAAGTCAACAAGCAATCAGTTGTGTAAAAGGCTTGTGAATGAGTGTAAATGATAGTTTCAACTAGCCACTGAGCTGTTTGTCTTATTCTTTACTGCTCTGACGACGGGGTTCTGCTTTTACAGTATAGGAGCTGGCAGCAGCTCCGCCACGGTCACGGTGGAGTCCTGCTCCATTAGAAGGTCCTAGTATCAGTGAGGCTTTCCAGGCGCGCACACATAAACAGCCTTTCGGTCTTATGTAACCCAACCTTTTATCTCCATGCTCTGAGAGACAGACACAGACTACACAGAAGTCTACATGCGCCCTTTGATGTGCCAAAACAAAAAACCCACACAAAATCAAAGCTGAGCATAAAATTTGAGCGCTGCAGATAGCCTGTTGAACAGAGTGACTTTACAGGCCACAGTGGAGTTAATTTCCTCTGACACTGGCTCAAACAATTTGATCAACAAATGCATGAGGATCATGTGCTACTCACTTACTAAACCAAACAGTGGATACAGTCTGGTGCCACTATGTTTCAATTTTTTTTACCAGTGCTGGGAAGTCAGTAAACAAAATGTTAGTGTTACTGCTTTCAGATTTCAAACCACCAGCGTTAGAATAAACAAGAAATTACTGTAACAGAAACATCATCTATTTTTCAAAGACCAAAAGCTACAATGTAAGTCACGAGAATAAAAGAAAAACAGACAATAACCTCAAAGACGCTAGAATATGTATATATCACTGCAAAAAAATAAATACAACAATAAAAGGATGCTATACATCTTCTGTTCAAGCAAGTTAACCCTTCTCAAACAATAACAATAAAAAGCAAGAAAAACAAAAAGTCAGGAAATACAATTGGCTGAAATTGTTGTTTTCATTATGTATAATCTCCTGAAAAGTTGTGATTTTCTTACTTTAGAATGACAAAGGGAGTGGGTCCTCTTTCACAAAGTCCACCATGTTGAACCACCATGTTATTACAGTAGCCCAGAACAGAGAGACCAAACACTGATTCTGAATACCTGCTCTACCGCTTCACGGCCACCATAGCTTCTCCTACAAGGAAGGATGAGCTGTATTCAAATGGTTGCAATCTGCAACTTCACTGCAAGATGCCACTAAATCCTACACACTGGTCCTTTAAAACATATGACAGTTCACTGCAAATATTATGTCTGAAGAAGCAAAACCACACATGAATGATGTCTTAGATATGTCCTGGTTTTTCATGGACACCCTCCAGGCAGCATAACACAGCCGAAGCAGTAACATTTCCAAATGGATTTGTTTTTGTCCTAAAGCTCCAGTGCACCTACTGGGAAAAATAACAACTTTGTAGAAGTTATGCCCTTTGTTTCACCCTCTGCAAGATTCATTATGCTGCCCTATAACTCAGAATGAGCCAGGTTCAGCAGTGGCTTTCCATTACTTATAGCAATACTCAAGATTTTTAAGAAACTGAAACCAGTCCTCGGTAAATGTGTCTTTGACAGTGGAAGTATGTCTTTCAATCACTGTGTTACAGCTACCAGAGTAACATGACACACTCAATAAGGTCTAAGGCATTTTTATGGGACTCTGGCTCCATTGTAAACGCATTCTGGAGATTTACTGTACTTCCAGATCCAGAGTGATACAAGAAACAATTTGTATCGTTGTTTCTTCTTTTTCAGTAAGTTTGCCTTCATACTTCTACTACTTGGAGTGGCCATTATTATTTCTAATTGCTAACTAGTTTTCACGCACTCTCAATAACAGCACGTGCTGTCGAGGTGGTGAACTGACTAAGGTAGGTTGTTTCTATTCATGCAGCTTGTTTTGGTTTGGTTTTGAGACATCTGTTTGATTTCTGCTTCCACCACAAAACTGTGGACATGAATGGAATTTCATTTGTGGCACTCACACCATTAGAGAATTACATTTCAGAACTTCAACAGCAACATGTCTTTCCAGGAACAATGTCCCGGTTGCTGTGGATAACCCACAAACCTCACTGTCAACAGTTTTCTTTGGAAGCATTTTCTACCTATGAAGCCTTTACGCAGGGAGATCTGTGGAACATTCAGAATCACAGAGACATTGTTCCTGGAAAGAGATGTTGCTGTTGATTTGGAGGCAGAAATCTCAGAGAGGGTTATCTCAAAACTTGGTCAAATTAAACCAGAATGTTCTGCATGGCTAAATATCACAACAAGTAAGTGATACGTGATTTTAGTAATTTGGAACATCTGACCACTTGAAGGTTAGCCAATAGAGTGAATTTTCCAAATATAACACTTTTTTTAGCACACAATTCCTACTTAATGGTACCTTGGATGGTGTTTAATTGTGTAATTGTGGCAGATGGATACTTCCTGGTTGTTGCATATAGGTTGTTTTTTTACCTCCACACAAGTAGCAGGACTCAGAATGACAAAACCTCACATTAACTTTGGCTGAACTTTAGCTCATCTTTTCCCCGCAACACAAGGAACATAGATCTTGTCCCTTATTTCTTACAGTGGGGTGATGGATGGAAATGCTTCCGCAAGTGAGTGATGTATACAGATTTAGATTTGAACCTGTGTCTTGGTACAAGAAGTCCTGGGTCCTGTCTTTTACCATACAGCTCAATGACAGTTTGTTATAAATAATGGGGAAGATACCCATAAGAAGATGATCTCAAAATGTCAGAAATACAAATAAAGCAGCCAGATATGCCTCCTGCCCTCTGCAAATGCGCTGCAATCTCACAACTCAAAATACTGCCAGCCAAGTAAACTCCCAGCCTTC